TGTTATTGGAAGAATGGATTGTTACCAGAGTTGTAGGCAACTGGAATGGAGTTCGATCAGAATGTCAGACGAATCCTTTCACTATTGATATCTGGGGCATCACACCGGACCCCAGACGTCAGTATGAACTAAAGCAAGAGGAGATTGAGATTTATTATTAGACAGATCAAAACATAATTTGTGACTCTTAGACGTATTACAAGATAAGCACGACATATTGTTCGGACTAATCTTGAGCTCAGGGTAAAGTGAGGCAATGCGAGACAAAATTCTGTTATTGGGGTGTCCAAGTCTTATATGCCATGAGTTGAGGTGAGAAGTTCTAGTGTGGAGAGCTTGAGCAGGGAAGCAGGCAGCAGTGTTGGCGATGGTGTATAACCCGTTACGGTAAGGTCCTCGGAGAAGAATTTGTTGCGTCGTTAGATCCTTGAAAGTAAATCCAGAGGAGTCAAAAATAATTTCAATATCATTGTCCTTGGTAAGTTGAGAGATAGACATGAGATTATATTTAAGATGCGAGGAATGTAAAATTTTAGATATATTTATCTTACGAGAAAGAGTCGGTAGCAACCCTTTACCGGAGTTTGCAATGCTAATCGAGCTCCCATCACCGAGAGTGATGCCGTCGTTGCCATTGTAGGGAGACGAGATGGAGAGATTGTCCAGCGATCCTGTCATATGAGAAGATGCTCCGGAATCCAAGTACCAGTCGGTGCAGGCATCATTAGGCGTAGCCACAAGAGCAGTGGTAGCTGATCTTGACGTTCTTGGTACATAGTTCGGGTTGAGGCGATGCCAACATTCGGATGTCGAGTGGCCTTTCTTGAGACATATCTGGCAGGTGGTTTGATTTGATTGTGGCTGTTGATCTCTGCGAGAACCGCTTGAGGTGGAAGAACGACCACTGCCACGACATCCCCGACCACGGTGTGTGAACAAAGCCGTGGAGAAGTCTTCAGCAGCAGTGACCCGAGCGGCATCAGAGGAGTCAGGAGACATGCATTTCTTCACTAATGAGCAGAGAATATAATTGATCAAGGGTGATAGGAGTAATCATGGTGCGTATGGATGTTTTGAAAGATTGATAGGTCGGTGGAAGACCATTGAGGATGTATAGGATAATATCCTTTGTATCAACTCGAGAGCCCGCCGCCGCGATCCGATCAACCAAGATTTTTATAGTAGTGAGATACTCTGTCATAGACGAGTTCTTGAGCGACACGTGATGTAGCTCATTTTTCAGTTGAATAACTTTGGATCGGTTCGTCGCTTGAAATCGATTTTCGAGGGTATTCCAGATAGCAGCGGTGGATGCAAGATCAAGAACGTAAGGAAGGATCGAGGCGGTGATGGTGGAGCATAATGCAGCGGCGAGATTTTGATCCGTAAGACGCCATTGAGCATATCTGGGATTGGGACTGAATGTGCCATCAGCGCTCTGAATGCGTTCATCAGGAATGACAGATTTGAGATATAAGAAAGACTCAAATCCATTTGCTGAACAGATCTTGATGATTTGGGATCGCCAAACCGAGTAGTTGTCGGGCGAGAGAGGTTGTTGAACAAGGTTCTTGAGATTGGAGATGACAAACTTGAGGGAGGAAGAAATGCAGGGCTGAACGAGACTCGTAGTCTCCGTTTGCTCAAGAATCGGAGAGGGAGAAGAAGCGTCCGTCATGTCCCGGAATCGAAATCACCTATCTTATACCATGTAGAAGATGAGGACGAGAGAACCAAGAACGGACAAACACAGAGAAAGTAAAGTATATTATTATGTTCTTTAATACATACAGTACAAGTCTTTAAATAGGCTGGAGCAGCCGGTTACACAGAAGGCAAAACAGTAATAGGAAAATACAAAAGGCTATATACTTAAATAAGCAGTGTGGTTGTTATGCTTTAATAGCATTCTCATCATTATCCCAAGTAAGGTGCAACATGTTAAAGACTTTATTCATTCTATTCATATTGTTGTCGTAGAAATATTAACAACCAAAGGAAAAGCCTCAAAATCTCTTGGAGATTGAGGTTTCGTTTTACACGACTTTTTTACTGTTTCTCACAACAATTATTTTTTACAAAAATTAAAATGTTTATATTAAAAAGTTATTTTAAAAAATAATAAGAAAATCATCTCAAACGAAACCCGAGCCATGAATCAAAAGGGAAATTCAATTGGGCTTAGTACCTAAATAGTCAAATATATTTTCGGCACAAAAAATTAAAATTTTAGTGTGAGTCAAAATTTAATTATTTTTAAATTATTTAATGTTAGATTTAAATTCAAATTTATAATGTGTCTTAAGTCTTAACAAAATCTTTTGCTACGGCGCATTACACGAGATTTTATTCAGAAAGAAAGAAAATAACTTCTTGCAAACAATTTCTGAAAAAAAAAGTTGGGCAACAGAAAACCTCCTACTTGTAATTGGAGAAATCATTTTGTGCGGACACCGGACAATCCGGAGGTCAACCAGAATGCGCCACATCACTCTGTACACAGTGGTACCGAGAAAAAAGAGACTCACGCATTCTAATTAGTCTCTAAACGCCGTCCAGAATCCACACAAAATAATTTTCTTGTAAGTGACAGGCATCACATTTTATTCTCGGTGATAGAATTGAATCAGTTTGTTACAAGTCCTTGTGAATTTAAAATAATAATAATAATTGACAGAATGTGTTCGGTATAATTTTTTTATTTACTGTGTTTATTTTGAGATGAATATAACAAAAATTTTAATTAACTGTTTGTATATTGCATTTCTCTGAAAGTTAATCTAAGCAATCTTAATCACTTCTTCTGTATGAGAAAATCGTGATTCTAAAACTTTCCATAAATCTTTTGAGTTTCTGCTTTTCATTGGAATCGTGATAATAAAATAAAATAAAATAAAAAAACTTTCCATGAACATTTTGAGTTTCTGGTTTCCAATGTGCTGAAATCTGTGCTACTTGACATAAATGAGATATTTCATCTTCACTTTTCTATCTACAGCATTCACAAAGACTGGAACAGGCATTTCAACATCCAACTAATCTAAAGAATTTGGCGAGCGTCGGCATTTGTGTTGATGATATACATCTTACAGGTGTTGATATTTGTGCTATGGCATGCAACAACCTTATAAGCAATATAAGGTGTCAATTTTGTTGGCAACATCTGGCGACTATGACTTATTATGATCGAAAGATCATAATCGGGTGATAGTAGATGAGAGATTATAGTCACACAATTATGATTAGAAGATCATATTTACATGATGAAAGTTAGGAGACTATAGGTGAATGATTGTGGTCAAGAGATTATAGTTACACGATGGTGATCGGAAGATTATAGTCAGGAAATAGTAGTTAGGAATTGATGATCAGGAGATTGTTGGTGGGCACTATTGGCATATAGACTATATTAGGGCAAATATGATCATTGAGAAATCATAGTCAAGAGACAGTGATCATAAAATCATTAGAACATAATGGAGGACCGAAGATCATAGTCCGACAATGATTTTTTGAGAGGTCATAAGTGTTCAGAAGACCTTAGTTGGGTAATGGTGTTAGGAAGACCATAGGTGCAAAATGATAGTTTGGATGACAGCAGTTCAATGACTATAATCAGATGATAATGGTCATGAGACTGAAGTCCAAGGACGCTTGTTAGGAGATCAAAATTAGGGGATAGATATGAGGCCATAATCAAGTGATAGCGATTAGCATATCTTGGTTTGGTGATTTTGGTTGACAGAACACAGTTAGGCAATGGTAATGGAACGACGGTGATCAAATGATGGTTGTTGAAAACTATAATTTGATGAAAGTGGTCAGGAGATTGTAAGCAACCATTCTTCTCATTCATTAGCTTAATGCAATCTGCCATTGAAAAACACTATTCAAAGAATAACATCTCAAAGTCTCCTCAGATAATTACTTCTTTAGAGTCAAAGTTATTACATCAATGAATCCCCTACCAAATCATCAACAATTTCTCACACTGACATATCCACTTTGTGCTCTTAGTTTGATTACTCGATAAATCACATGAGCCACTTGAATAAGCTGAGCAGTATCAATAATCGTTAGTACAACATGCGATGATGACAGAATGATGAAAGTTTCTTGAATATGCATAAAGAATATTAAGTTATGAATGAAGAAGAACAAAATATAACTATTTTCTTCAGGCTTTTTCATGATTGTAAGGGCATCTCCAACCGAAAACTTCATTTTTCAAGGCAAAGTAACGCAAAACTCCAAAATGGCGCGGTGATGCTCCAATCGAACGCCATTTTAGGTGTTTTTGAGAAGGTAACGATCGCCCTCCCTTTCGCGCGTTTTTCCGGTTGAGAGAAAAAAATGGCGTGAGTGAACATTGCGACGCCAATATTGGCGTGGCACTGTTCATCCGCGATCAAATGGCGTAAAAAATGGCGATCGGTTGGAGCAAAACAAGAACGGCAAACAAGTGTTTGCCGTTCGGTTGGAGATGCCCTAAGCAGTGGTTCAGCACATAAAACCCATGGATGATAAAATCGAGATGACTTTGTTCTATGTTGTCTCCAAGTACCAAAGAAAAAAACAATCTCCATTGTACATCGCCTTGCACTCTAAAATCGTTCAAAATAATGGGAAACTTAACCACCATGTAAGCAATTAACAAGGAAATAATAAAAATTTACTATTGAAACGAGTTCGAACGGGAAAAAAACATTAATTTCCCCCCCAAAAAAGTGGTGGTTTTCAAATTGACACAAATTTAACCTCTGCTCTCTTAGAATGTTGCATCAAATTGAGCCTAAATTTTACAGAAGTTTGTTCCAAAAAAAAAAATCAACTTAAATTTCAGATATTCAACTTTTTATCACAGTATCTGCAGACTTCCAACACAGAAAAAACAAATTGTAAATAAGATTTAGCGTATGGTAACTAAAGAGTCAGTCAAATCCCGTACGTCAAAAAGCTACGAAAGCATGTATTTTAATTGACAAAATGCTAGAGAAATCTCCAATCTTTAATCAGGTATTATAATTTATGCATTTCATCAAACACCTTATAGGCACTACTAGATATGGAAGCGGGAGATGTTATAAGCAGCAGTAAAACTAACATAAGCATCAACCAAACGTTACCAGGACAAGAAAAAGTAAACAAATTGATACATAGGAAGGCCTTCGGTCAGGCTTAGAAATCTTCATCTAACTTAAACTCATGGCTTCCGCCATTACCATTCAAGCTCGACATCACCGACGCCTTCTGATATTCCCCGACCCTCTTCTCAAAGAAATTCGTCTTACCCTGAAGTGATATGAGCTCCATCCAGTCAAATGGATTTGATACACCATACAACTTGCCATAACCCAGAGCTCCTAGAAGCCGATCAGCGACAAACTCAATATAGCGGCTCATTAGATCGGCGTTCATTCCCACAAGAGCGCATGGAAGTGCATCGCAAACAAACTCCCTCTCAATATCCACAGCATCCGCAACAATCTCTCGAACCCTCTCCTCTGAAATCTTGTTGATCAGAAGACTATATAAAAGGCAGGCAAAGTCGCAATGGAGACCCTCATCACGAGATATCAGCTCGTTGGAGAATGTGAGACCGGGCATCAAACCGCGCTTCTTGAGCCAGAAGATGGCGCAGAAGCTGCCAGAGAAGAAAATACCTTCAACGCAAGCGAAAGCGAGAATCCGCTCAGCAAATGTATCAGAGGCGTCAATCCAGCGCAGCGCCCACTGAGCCTTGCGAGCGACGCAGGGGATGGTCTCGATGGCACGAAAAAGGAGGGATTTTTCCTTTGAGTCTTTGATGTAAGTCTCGAGGAGAAGACTATACATTTCGGAGTGAATGTTTTCAATGGCGATCTGAAAGCCGTAGAATGCGCGAGCCTCCGGGAGTTGAACTTCGCGCATGAATCGGCCGGCTAGGTTCTCAAGGACGATACCATCTGAAGCGGCAAAGAAGGCGAGGACGTGGGTGACGAAGTGGCGCTCGTCGGAGGTAAGTGTGTGATCCCAGTGACGCAGGTCTTGTGAGAGGTCGACCTCTTCCGCAGTCCAGAAGGAAGCCTCTGCTTTCTTGTACATCTCCCAGATCTGCGGATAGCGGATCGGAAACATGCAGAAGCGGTCGGGGTTTGGAGCAAGAAGAGGCTCTTCTTCCTCGTGGATTCTGGCAGGAGTCGGCAACAACGGCATGGTTTGAAGTTGAAGATGTTGACAATGAAGAAGAAGAGTGCACTTCCGGCAAATTTTAATACCAGAACTTCTCGGATCCTTGCAGGAGAAGAAGCTGGAATCCGGGCACCGCTGGTTGGTATTGTAAACGGTGACTTTAACATAATGGTCTGATGCTTTGTGGCGAAATGTGTTGCGAGGGAAATTATGTTGTGAGCCTTCCGATCGAGAATTCAAAGTGTCCTGATTAAGAAGAGGAGCACAGGAGGCTACAGGAAATTGGGCGGTATTGGAAAGTGAAACAGGATTCAAACGGCCTAAATGCAACAATTTCGAGTCCCGGGAAATTGGTTTTCCCATTTGAAGCTGAATTGTTGATTAGAATTTTAGCGGGAGATTAGCCCTGGAAATTAGCCCGGGAAAGGTATGTGCCAAATGAACGAAATTTTTTTTTTTTAATTAAGTAAAGAATGCTATCATATTTTTTGAATGCGTTTCCTAACTTAAAATATTAAATGATTCTTATAACTCTTTTTTTTATTATTATTTAACATAGTAATAATATATATATATATATATATAAAGTTTATTGCTCGATAATATTTAAATATATTTCAAAATTAAATTAAATTAATATTATATAACATATTTTAATATTTAAAATTTAATTCAATTTTAAAAAAAATTCTAAAAAATTTGAATTTTTTAATTTGAAATTAAGAAATCAAACTAAAAAATCGAGTCAAGCTCGAATTTTCCAAATGAGCCAAAGCAATCAAGCAGAGTGTCAAATTTGTGGTGGTAGAAGTTCATTTGCTTTTGTAGAGTGTCAAATTTGTGAAAAACTTGGGCACACAGCTGCTTCCTGTTGGAACAGTTTGAACATATCATACCAGCCGCATAAACCACAAGCTTTTGTGGCAGATGAAGACGCTTCTACTACAAACTGGTTATTGGATTCAGGTGCATCTAGGGGTGTAAGTGAGATGAGCCCACTCGTGAGCATACTCGAGCTCGACTCATTTATGGGCTCGAGTTCTAGCTCACTTTTCGACTAACATGTTGAGCTCGATATGGTCTAAACTTGACTTGACTCGTTTACACCCCTAGGTGCATCAACTCATCTTACCTCAGATGCATCTCAACTTCAGTTCGTTCATCCTTACTTGGACAACTCGCAAGTACATGTTGGAAATGGTAATCAACTTCCTATTGTTCATTCAAAACAAGGCATTTTACCTACACCCTCTCGTAAGCTTCGCCTACCTCACATCTTTCATAATCCCCATCTCATTCATAGTCTTCTTTATGTTTATCATCTTATTAATTATAACTCTTTTTACATCTTGTTTGACAATAATGGTTTTACCATAAAGGGTTCCAATAACTATTAGATTTTGCTTCAAGGGTCCATCATACAAGGTCTCTATCCAATGAAACTACATGTCGCTTCCAAACTTCAGCAACATATTATCTCCCATGCAGCTATACTCAACATGCCTAACAACTATACAGTGTGGCACAAAAGGCTCAGTCATCCTTCTCCTACCATTCAAAAGATGTTATTAAATACACTTTAATTTAACCTACACCTCACTCCATGTGATTCTTGTGCTCGTTCTAAGAGTTATCTCCTTCCCTTTACTTTAGCTTCTCCCAAAACTACTAAATGTCTTGAACTTGTGCACATTATTATATGGGGTCCTTCCTCGATATTATATATGCAAAACTTTAAATATTAACTCATATTTGTTGATGATTTTACAATATTTTGTCGGGTGTACCTGTTAAAATTCAAATCTGATGTCTTGTCTACATTTCTTCAATTCAAACAATTTGTAGAAAAATAATTTCAAACGCCCATAAAAATGCTTCAATATGATTGAGGTGGTGAGTTTGCTAATCTTAATTTTTTAAATTGCTTAAATTCATTTGAAATTTTGCATCGTGTTGTTGAACGAAAACACCACAACATTTTGGAATTTATGTGAGCCCTTTTATTTGAGGCAAACATACCACACAAATACTAGTTTGATACCCTTCTAATGGCTGCCTATCTCAAAAACCAATTACCCTCCAAGCTCACTAATCATGTTTCTCCATATCATAAGTTATATCGGCAAAACCAACAATATGACCATCTCTGTGTGTTTGGTTGTTTATGCTATCCTTGGATCCCTCTATCCAACCGTCACAAATTACAGCTCCAATCTCTACCCTGTGTTTTCATAAGATATGCAACTCAGTCCAAAGGGTATAAATGCTTGGATCCACTTACAGGTCGTGTCTATATCTCATGGCATGTATAATTCATTGAATATATATTTCCCTTCAAGAATAACACATACACTCATTCCTCCCACTAATAGTCTCCATTCCACACTTACACTAGTACAAGCATTTGTAGTTCCTTTCAGCCCTTCCCCAGCTCATTATACTCCCTCTACTTTTCCCACTTCACCTCCCACACAACACTCCTCCCCCATCGTTCATTCACTTGTACCAATACCTTCTCCAGCCAGCGATACTTCACTTGTCTTGCCTCCTCAACCAATCTGACATCTTATGCTCACCTGTCGACAATCTGGTCATCTTAAACCAAAGCAAGTTTTTATTTGCAGCATACAATTGTACTAATATCACCAACTTCCTTTGCAAAAGCTAACAAGCATTCAACTTGGAGAACTGCCTTGATGAATTTTTGGCTTTACAGAAGTAAAGGGCTTTGGTCTCTCTTTCCTCATAGCAAAGACCAAAATATACTTGCTTGAGAATGGTTATACAAAACCAAGTTCAACTTAGATGGCTCTATCGCCCGTCACAAATCCAAACTCATGGCATAAGATTTCAAACAGGAATATGGTATTGATTATACTGATACATTCAGTCCAGTGGCCAAATTTTCTACCATTAGACTTATGCTAATTGTTGTTATTGCCTTTTATTGGCCCATCTTTAATTTAGATGTTTTAAATGCATTCCTTGGTAATCTTGATAAGACGGTATTTATGCAGCAAACCCAAGGCTTTCAAGATCCGCAATATCCAACTCATGTATGTCGCCTGATTAATTTGATATTCACCTTCTGCTTACAGAATTTGCACTACAAATTTTGTATGAGAAATCTTGGACATGTCTCACATTTCCTTGGTATTCAAATTTCACCTTATTATAAAAGTTTATTGCTTTGTCAACCCCGTTATATTGTTGATGCGGTCAACAAAACTAGTATTTTAAATTGCAAAGCAATCCAAAAGTCCTCTGCCCTCAAAACCTCCTAAAGCAACATAAACTTCAAAACTCTTTCAACAATTAGAACTTTACAAACAGTTGGTTGGCTCGTTGCAGCCTGTAGTATATCGCAATCACTTGGCCATATACTACATTTGCATTAAATCACTTGTGCCAACATATGCATAAACCATATCATCTTCACTTCGAACTACCGAAATGAGTGTTGCAATATTTAAATGGTACTCTCAATCATGATTTACATATAACCACTACACCTCTCAAACTTCATCCATATGCAGATTCTGATTGGGCCACCAACCCTAGTGATCGCTGCTCACTTTATAGCTTTTTTGCATTTCTCGGTGGGAATTTATTATATTGGTTAGTGAAGAAGCAACCTACAGTTAACAATCCTCCATAGAGGCTGAATATCGTGCCTTAGCTGTTGTAGCTAGTAATATATTATGGTTACGTCAATTGCTCACTGTTTTTTTTTTTTTTATTCCAATTTCTGTGCCAACTCAAATTTATTGTGATAATATTTTTGCACTTGCAATAGCCAACAACCAAAATTTTCATACTTGCACTAAACATATAGAAGTAGATTATTACTTTATTTGCGGTTGCATTGAAGCTCAACATGTCACTGTACATCATATATGATCGCAAAATCAACCACCATATATCTTCACCAGAGCCTTATCTTCTATTCGATTTCTTCAACTATAATCTAAGTTAACAATTCAAGAACCATTCATAACTTGAGGGGCGGTGTTACCTAACATGTGCATGTGCCCATTCATACGTTGGAATATACCCTGCTCCCCTTCTCACCTGTTGCACGACAACTTCTACTACAGTTGTAATCCTGAGCGTTGATGCCTTGCACAACTAATTTTGACCTATGTTTTATAACTGCTTGTACTCAGGTCATCTATATAAAATGTAATATGTAATAGTAAAACTAACTGTAATACACAAATGAGTTTTCTCAGTGCTTTGGTTCTTCCTTTTCTATCCTTGCAGGATCAAAACTTATCATCAAGCTCGAGCTTAATAAATGAGATCTAGCTCAGTGAGAACTAAATAAGTTTAGCTCAATTAGGCAGATACTCGACTGGTTTACAACCCCACTAATGCACACCAAATTTGGCATCCCCCATAGCCAATAAGGCTATTATATTTCATTAACATCAATGTTAACACACCACATATTTACAAGTTATTGTAAATCATTAACTACAATGCCGGCCCACAAAATATATTCAAGTAGTTTTAAAATTAGTAGATTACAAAACTCAACGAAAAAGAATCACAATCATAATTTCAATTAAAGCTTTGTTTGAGATAATTTTTTTACTGCTTTCTAAAGCAGTTTCTTCATAGAATTATTTTCTTAAGAAAAGTTTTTGTACTGAAAAACAGCTCTAAAACATAATAAGAAAATTGTCATAAACAAAGCCTGAATTCCCATCTCATGATCTCTTCAACAAAATATATGTAAGAAAAATCTCATAGTTTTTATTATGTGAGATGACCACATATTATTAAATACCTATTAAAAGTTTTGATATGCAAATGCAAAATTCTACGCTATCAATGATGTCTAAATGTATACAAGTATAGTAATGATCATTGATTATTCTTAATATTTTTTTGTGAGATTTTTCTTACAAGAAATTCACACGGAGAATATCATATCAAATGAGTTCAATTTGGCTAATAAACAAGCCCCTATTCATGAAAGGATCAAATATGAAGTTAAATTCATCAAGCTGCGATTTTGTATTTTTAGGGTTTTCCTACACCAAGTTCGAGATTATCCCCGCTTCACCTACACATAGTAATACACCATTAGTGATTGAGAGGGAGAGAGGGAGAGAGAGAGCGCGAAGGATCCTCTTTAATACAAAAATTCGTCTGATATTGGTTGTAATGGTTTTGCGATTAAGGAAAACAAAATTATATTTATTTTAATTTGAGTGTTTATAACTAGGGGTGTCAATTTTTGACACGACCCGAAACACGATCCGAATCCGA